TTTTGTTGTCTAAGTGAAATAAAGAATGTCAAAGAGTCAACCAGATGTCATTTAGGAGAACTCAAGGCATTTTTTTTAAATGCCTCCTTAAATACAAGTAAAACATGACACATACTCCTGATAACCCAAGACCAGCCTGAACAGGGAGTGCTGGAGGAAATTCAGAGAGCTGTCCCAACTTAGAGTAGGCTCATCTTTTCACCATCTCAGCCACGTTCTCTTGTGTACTAAGTACGAGTTAAACACTGGGAGAAGAGCAACATAGAAGATCAGAGGACTCCTCCCACGAAGGGTTCATGAGCCAGTGATTCCTTCTGGACACAATGCCTGCAGACAGAGTTTACTGGGTGGTAAAGATCAATTAAGACAACTTTAGCTACATTTCTAGAATTTAGCATGATGCTAGCCAGGCTGTTCACATTAAGCAGAAATTTTACAACTGACCACCCAGTAAAGCCTGTATTGATCAATATAACAGCCATATACGCATCTGACCACTTAAACTAACTGCATTAAATGAGATGGCTCAGCGGGTAAGAGCACTTGCTACTCTTTCTAGAAGACTTAGGTTCAATTCCTAGCACCCACATGGTGGCTTACAGCCCTCTGTACCTCCAGTGTCAGCGGATTCAGTGCCGTCCTCTGGCCTGTATAGACAGCAGGCATGCATATGGTGCACAGACATACATGCAGGTACAATACCTATACCCACAAAATAAAAATAAATAAACCTAGAAACTACTTAAGTTTCAGTCAGTGTTCCATATACATCACTAGCAGCTCTCAAACTACTCTGAATAGACAGATCATTTCTGATGAAAGTCTGATTTGAAAGTGCTGTCCTAAAAGTTTGTACTCAGTATGACCCTGAGACAGCAACACACACACACACACACACACACACACACACACACACAGAAAGACGACACACAAGCACTGCTCAGACTTTCCAAGGCAGAAACTTGAGGGCTTCACACAAGAGACTTAATGTGGGGCTGTGGAGATGGTCCAGGGAGCAAAAGTGCTCACAGTGCAGGCACAAGGACCTGAGTTCCATGACACATCAAAAGCCAGGCGTGGTGGTGGAGGGATTGCTCAGTGGTAACAGCACTCGCTGATCTTGCAGAGGACCTGGTTCAATTCCCAGCACACACATGGCTGTTCACAACTGTTTGAAACTCTCATTCCAGGGAACCCCAATGTTCTCTTCTGGCCTATGCAGGCACTGCATGAATATGACACGCGCACGCGCATACACGCGTAGGTAAAGCATTCACACACATAAAAATAAATACATCTTTAAAAATTCAGGCTTGACTTGGCTACACATGCCTTTAACACCAACACTAGGGGACGGACATATGTGCATTTTTAAATTCTTTTACATGCATTTATTTATTTGTCTGGGAGAAGGCATACTGTGACATGCTTCTAGAGCTCATAGGACAACCTGCATAAAGTATTTCTCTTCTGCTACCATGCGGGTGGGTTCTGGGGATGGAACTAAATCCATTAGGCTTGGCAACATATGCCCTTGCCCACCGAGTCACTTCCCTGTCCCAACAGGAAAATTCTGAGAACTTAGCATTCAGGCAGGCTACCTAAAAATGGCAGACTTCCAGTTCAGACACCTCATTTCAAGGCATGATAAGGCCGACAGCAATTGAAGCTTCTGCATGAACTGCCCTGGGTACATACATACAACAAACACACACATACACACACACACACATACACACACACACATACACACACACACATACACACACACACACACACACATACACACACACATACACACACACACACACACACACACACACACAAATAATGAATCAAGCAGGCCAGAGACTCAGACACAGTGAAGCATGAGCAATTCCGCTCCAGAAACTACACCGCCCTCTAGAAATCATTCTGACAATATAAAATTAAGTGACTACATTTTTGCTGTTCAAAAAAAAATTTACAAGTTTCTACCTCCTAGCTGGAAGTTCCAATAGTTCAATCAATAGATTACACAACCAACCAAAATTTCCAGAGGTCAAAAAGTCTCCACTCCTAGCTTCATCATTCTGATGTGGGTTTGCCCTTATCCCAAGTGATCTGGGGTACTTTTCAAAGAGCACAAGGTTTAGGCCCTTTGTTGGAATACTGCCCTCCCTGAGTGTAGAGCTCATTGTGAGAGTTGTTCACACAGCTAGTGACTACACTTACACAAAATTGCAAAAGTGATCTTGACCACAAAAAACGTAAACATTACTATCTAATAGTACTTAAATAAATTATATGGGGGTTTAAAAGATAAATGTTGAGAGAAATAAGGTTTTGTGATAAATAAAAACAGAGTTCTTTTCCCCCAAGAGTTTCCTATTCATGTTCTTGGGTATATTACTTTTTTTTAAAAAATGAGCAAATTCACTTTGCTAAGGCGCCAGTGAGCTTGCATTAACAGTCTATAATCTGCTTTCTGAGAATAGTACAGATCATCACATTTTCAATCCTTTATAAATCACAGGTCATCTAGCCACCAAAACCTGTTCCCCCTTCTTCTCGTGTGTGTTATTTCAAACTGCAATAACATATAAGAAAACTACAAATTCTTGAATTATTTTAATAGTGGAAGTTTTGCAGAAATAAGCTAAAGGCAAAACCTTTGACTTGTTTAGAAGCAACTCATCCCCAGTGATGGGAAAGAGTGCCAAATTTGACCATTCAGTCTGTAATTTTGTTAATCAAAGATTGTGAAACAAATGCCTCATTTGCAAAACAAATACAAAAATCAAGCCTTTAAAAGACCTCAAGCACATTTTGCCTATAAGTAGCTATAAATCTTATCTATGAAAAACAGTGATCAATAACCTCTCTAGAAACAGATGCACAGCTTACACCCTTGATGCAATGGAAGGGGCTGCACCAAAACAAAGCAGGGGATAATTTAATCCCCTTGCCAAGCAGTAGAAAATGTATCTGGTATGATAAAAAAAAAATATCAGAAAATGAGTGTGAGTAATGCAAAACTGCCAAATGAGTAATTCAACTGCATTATACTTGGGGACACACTCTTCATCCAAATAAAGGTCATATTTTGGAGACTACCTTATACAGTGGACAATACTCACTATTTTATGGACGCTGATAGCTCTCTAAATGCATGCATATTTAAGGTTTATGTGCTTCAAAAGGGCAGGAAAGACCTGCCAAGCCTTATTCAAGCTTTTAGCATGTGCACACAAATACAAAATGTTCCATTAATTGGACATTCTTCCCCTGGTGATTAATAGTTACAGCTGTGCTTACCACAAACTAAATCCCACATGCTAATGATTCAGAACCTAATTTTTCTCATTCAGTCCTAATCCCTACAGGAGTGATAGTAGTTTACCATGCCAGGCAGTCTCAGCAGAAGCCTTGTCAACTACAGTGCAGCAGACAGCATTCGGAAGGTCAGAGGGATGAGACCAGAGCAAGGCATTAATGCACAGAGCACTGCTCCCCTGCAGAAACCTTTTGGCAGGAGCTTGTCTGTAATCATCGCTTTCTTAAAACTGGACTCCTTTTTACTCAGCCTGAACAATTCCCCAGTTTTGTCTGCCTCCAACTACTTTTTAGGCCCACACTCAAATTTCTTCCTTTAGCTTTACCTCTTCTCTCCCCTGTATTTTATTCATTCTGTCCACTTTCTAAACTTCTTCCTATTTCTAAATCTATGCTTCTAATATCCGGTCTTAAAATTTCTTCATATCACTTTAGCTTTTATTAGGTTTCTTCAAAGAATAAAAGTTCACACCGAACTCCTAACTCTATAACATGATTAGACCAGGCTTTCTTTTGCAGAAGTTAGCACAGATGTGGGAACATTAAAAGAAACTTGTCCTGTGCATTTTCATGAAGCAATTTAACACTGAAGAAATTTAAGCTGATGTCCAAAATACTATATAATTCTTTTAAAAATCATTACGAGTGGCAAGTAGTAGTGTTAGTAGCAGTGATAACTAGCCGCAGCTGTGAACTCCTTAGCGAGGCAGATGTCAGCAATTTCTATCAATAAACAAGCAGCCTCACTGAGCAGAGACTGGGACCAAACCTCAGCTGATCTCCAAGGGCTTCCATGCTCAGTAAACCTTAGGGCTTAAAGTCAGGATTCGTCCCACAAACTGATACAAACAATTCTAAGTAAATCTACCATTGAAAGATGAACAGAACGTTGAAATTCAGTTTTTCTAAAGAGGAATAAATCTTAAAATGCTATTAAATGTTTCTGACAGAGAGGCAAGAAGCACGAAGGAATCACAGTTTTTCTAGGGGACACTAGACCTCAGTGTCAACTTCGGTGGGAACATTTGGGGCCACTTCTGAAGGCCTCCTCAGCCCCTCTGGGCTACTTAGCCTCCTAGCTGTGCTTCAGACATGCAGATGAAAAGGAGCTGGGGTTCTTTAAGAGAAACTCCTCCCCTATCCCATCCAACACCAGCTCTCTAAAGTCAGAAGTAGCCTCTATCCTCCTTCTGCCTGTATAATGCATCACAAAAAGGGAGCCTAGTTCTCCAGGGTGATAGAAAGCCCTGTTCCTAGGAAAACTGCTTGGGACACAGGGATGAAAGAAAATAAAATTATAGGTAAGCACGATGTTCTACTCTCTGCTTAAAAATAAAATTTGGAAAATTCAACATCAGATACTAAAATCAATATTCCAAGCTAAGCAAGAGAGGTACTGGGCAAAGCATTTGGAGGCCCCATGGTATCTTTCTGTTTTCTGGGGGAATTAAATACTGGTTGGCAGGGACACCCCAGAACGAATGCAGTCTGCTCTTCTAGATAGCCAGCAGGATTCAGCAGAACTTGGGCTCACCCCCAGAAGTCTCCTACTGGGATGGCCGGAAAGACAACAGCGGTAAGCAAAAGCAGTCAATAATACAGAGGACAATGTCAGAGCAGCATTTCACAGAGAGAGATAAGTAAGAGCTATTGCCTGCAGAGACCTACAAACAGAGGTTACTCACAGAGATTACTGTAGCTCCAGCAGTTACCCATTGAGCATAGAAAATGCCCCGTTCATCAGTTTAACGCTTGAGAAAAGTTAACCAGAAAAGAAGCGAGCTAATGCAAAATGTGCTGTTCTAGTCAACTGGAAGCAAATTAGTTTCAAATTTCCTGGAGGCCCCTCTTGCCCTGCACTGCACACGGTGAAGTCAATGGAAGCACTTTGAGCACTTGGAAGCAGAGCTGAGCCGAGCCCAGGAACTGCAGCCTCAGCCTCTTACAAAGGCAGGAAGAGCCTGCTCTCCTGCTGTGCTCAGCCTCAGGCGCTCTCTACCTTGGGAGCTTACCGAAACAGCCACTGTAAGGCTTTGCTACAATTGTGAAAACTACTTCCAAGGAGGTAACTGAGATGCCGGGAGTTAGCTTTAATGTAACCATTCCCCCAGTGCAGCAGCAGGAAGCCGGCAGAGGCTGGGAGAGGATCGTACCATCCTGGCTGACATCAGAGGTGGGGCTGTCATCCCAGTATTATGCAGCATTTTCTCTGATGCTGAAATGACACACATGAACCGAGATGGGCCGGTTCCCTTTAAAAGCATTTAATTCTCACGTTGTTCCAACGGAAGAGGCAAATGCAAAAACGCTGCCCAGAAGCTGCTCCCATGACATCAATCCTGCGCTGGCAGTCCTTATCTCACTGGTAAGTGCTGCTGTCACCCAGGCATCTCGCTAATGATTACATTATTATTCCTCTGATAAATTATCAGTTTAATGGGTAATTGATAGTGCTTGAAAAATGTGACATGAAAAGATTGAAAGTCATGAAGATCCAGTTTTAAAAGCCATGGCATAAAGTTTAACACCACTAAAAGGACTTTGGATGTGTACCATACTTTTCAAGCAATCTCAGTAAAAGCACTCATTTTATAAATAATAACATGAAACTAACCCATGATAAATGACATAATACTGACCCCTGGACTTGGTGTAAATACTAAACATAATCTCGTCTTGGGCTGGGAGTGTTCCTCCATGCTAGAGCACTTACCGATCCCCGGGTTCGAGCCCCAGCACTGAAAAAATAGAATCTTCAGTATCATTAATATTCTAATCAGCATGAGAAGCAAAGGCACGTCAAGGCTATTTTTTTTTTTCGTATTCTATACACTCAGTGAGCAGCATAACCAGGTGACAGAAAATGTGGTAATTTTAATTCAGAATGTCCATCTTTATAAATAATAGATTAGAAACTGTTTAGTGATGTGCTATACACCATGCTAAGCAGTTTCATTTTGCGAATTCATCTATTCCTTCCAGAAGGTTCTGGGATAGCTACTATTATTAACCAACCCATTGTACAGATGAGACCACTAGAATACAAAAGAGGTGTGGGTCATCTCAGATCAGGGGAGTAAAATTCAAACACAGCCACTGTGGCTCTAAACTTCACCCTCTGTACTACTAAGCTACCCTCCTTCCTAGAAGCCTGCATGCCAAAGAAAGAATTCTGAAATAAGACTATTATTTCCAGGGTTTCAAACAATAGCAAACCAAACAAGCCCCTCTCTTAAGAAGACTAATTGATAAATAGGAGGACAAAAATTAGATGGTATACCCAGGAACAGCAGACTGGGAACAGAAATAAAGCCAAGACTCCACTTCACAGCTGACAGCTTGTCTTACCTCAGGAAAATAGCTTACAATCTCTGAGCTTTAGTTTCTTGACCTCTAAACTATGAGCGCTTGGCTTATTGACTGGTATAACACTGTGGTGAGAGCACATCATCTAGACTTACAGCCTAAACTTCTTTACTTTACAATTGTGTCACTTTAAGTAGTCCTCAGCTTCATCATTCAAAACCACAGAAACAACAGGGTTACTCTAAGGATTAAGTAACTGAAGTATGCAGACAAACCACTCAGATGAGCAACTGTATCTAGTAAAAGCTCCACAGTAATTATTATAACTATTATTACCAGTAACTTCCATTTCTTGGGGTAGGAGCAGGATCTAACTAAATAGTTCAGGATGGCCACAAATTCCTGATTTTCCTGCCTCAGTATCCTGGGTGTATAGGCATGTGACATCATGACTAGTTTATTTTTAACTAAACTGCCCAATTCTTCCCTTTCCAAAACTCTGAGAAAATCTGCTAGAATTATTGGGGAGGGGGGCTAGGCTGACTGGAAAGGCAGAAGGCACAACTTCTGTTGGCCCCATCCAGATATTAACCAACCCACAAATCACCAGCTCCCAATGGGATGCACTCTCATGAAGCTGGCAGCAGCTGTCAGAGATTCCTTACAAAAGGAGAGAGGGACAGACGCCCTTTGCTCTCCCTTTCCCTTCCGCGTGAGTAAGAAAAGAGGGGTCTTGGGCTGGAGAGATGGCTTAGAGGTTAAGAGCATTGCCTGCTCTTCCAAAGGTCCTGAGTTCAATTCCCAGCAACCACATGGTGGCTCACAACCATCTGTAATGAGGTCTGGTGCCCTCTTCTGGCCTGCAGGCATATACACAGACAGAATATTGTATACATAATAAATAAATAAATATTTTAAAAAAAAAAAGAAAAGAAAAGAGGGGTCTAGAATTGAAGTGTTATCCTGGCTAGGGAAATAAAAACAGGACCCCACCAAATATCCACCAAAGAATCTTGCAGCCCTAGGATCTGTTGTAACAGAGAGAATAAATCCTTACATTATTTCACTTCAGTTTTCTACTATATGCAGTTTACACAATCTTAGCTGGTCCACAATCAGAGGCTCAGTGACCAAGGGCTGGGTTACAGACAAGTACTTTCCTTCTGTTAAAATCTCTCAGTATACAGCTTTCCTTAAGCAAGTCTAGCTGCAACCACAAAACAGATGAAGATGAAGTTTAGAGAACTTTAGGTCCACTCAGTAGGATTCCTATTATATTTGACTAGTTAAGCACTCTGATAGTCATCTTCAGTTACCTTGCTCTCTCTCCCCGACTCTAGACCTCAGATGGCTGGCCTAGCAGTTTTCTGGTACGCCTGAATTTACTAATGACTGACAGCTTTCCTTTCCCTATGCCATAGTCTCATTAGATCCAGTCTTGCCACTCAACAGAAGGGTGAAGTAGACTGAAGCTTAGGAGGTCTGGTCTGGACATCTAAGGCCACCAGCGTGGTGTCATGATTATGACTAGTGGTTTTGGTGTAGAGACTTACCAGAATGTCATTTCATGACTACAACTACAGTTTCATGGGATATCTGTCAGTTTTCATCTCAAATCAATTTTATGAGGCAAACGCCTAATGTTCCCCCACAGTTACTAATGATATATGCGCCTCTGTGTTAAATGGAAAGGTCTGCATTCTACATGAAGGCTTGGTGTGTGCTACGTCTTCAGGAGACCATCTGACCACTGTGCCTCGTACACTCCCACAGCCAAGTCTCAGACATGCACAGTCTTTCATCAGTCCGACCCACTTAGGTCTTCTTCTACAGAGGCCACCAGAAGAAGCAAGCCTGGCTTGGGAGAAGGAGTCTCACTTTCCATGGTCTGGGAAGGGGCCTGAATAAGTAGGGCAGTTCCTACTCTCCCTGGAGAGCAGACCCTGTCCCAGAGGCAGAGTCAATTCCTGACTATCTTTCGTATGTTCCATGTCACACATCCAACATGAGAAAACCATAATGATTGCCTTCTATGAGAACCTAGCTTCCGACAAAGGATTCCTATTTCAGATGCATCATTAACACCTCCTGTCACTTTCCAGCCATACTTCATGTCTCCCTGTGTCTCATCACCATGACATAGTTATTTTTCTTGAAGTCTCATCCATCTGAGTATGCACTTACCCTTTTATAGAGCACAGAGTATTGCTTAGAAATTAACTTATGCTCTCAACTACAAACCTGATGATTGATATCCTCCACTGTACGTAGTTTCCCTACACCTTGAAGCAGGGTGTAGTGGCTCATGCCTTTAATCCCAGCAGGTAGGCAAAGACAGGAGGATGTCTGTGAGTTCGAGGCCAGCCTGGTTCTCAGTGAGTTCCATGACAGCTAGAACTACATAGTGAAATTCTGTCTTGAAAAAACAAAACAACAAAAAGGAAGGAAGGAAAGAAGGAAGGAAGGAAGGAAGGAAGGAAAGAAGGAAGGAAGAAAGGAAGGGAGAGGGAGGGAGAGAGAGGGGGAAGAAAAGAATAATGAAGAATCATGCTAATAATCCCACACTTTTTAATCAGTCATTTTATGTGTGCTTGCATGTTGTGTATTGAGCTCCATACTTTTGACGTCAGTGCTGTCAACATTGTCCAATCGTGGGCCTCCCTTCTCCAAAGCACAAATAACAGAAATTGAAAACAGGTTTCCAACATACTTATGTTAAATCTGTAATTCTTTAGCTCAGGGATCAGAAATTTCTCCTTAAAAGATCAGATCAGTGTCAGGCATACTGGCCCAGGCCTATCAGCCAAGCACTTGGAAAGCAGAAGGAAGCCTGCCAGGCATTCTAGGGCAGCCTGGACTGGAGGAGGCCAGCAAGGGCTACATAACACAACCCTATCTCAAAAACAAATTTATAGTTTAAGCTTTGTGATCTCCATGGTAATATGTCTGCCAATGCCATAAACAATAACAAATTGACACAAGACTACACTCCAATAAAACATTACCTTCAAAGGCCACTGAAACTGGCCCAAGAGCTGGACATAGTCTGGATTCTTACATTAAAAAAAAGAAAAAATAGCACAGAGTGGCCCAATAGCTTACAGCCAGCATGAGAAGCCAGGATGCCCCAGGACAAAGAGTTCATTCTGTTAAAAAGAATGCTGCCTCTCCACTGATCAACTGTAAACAGCATAGTAACTTCCAGATCTTCACTCAGAGTTATTTCCTTATATCCAACTGTGCTCTACTCTTCCCACGTCCAGATCAAATCCCTCCTCTCACCGAGCCCTAATATATGTGACCTGCACTTTTACGTGAGGCCCTTACATTTTCACGATTTTATACTGTCTTGCTTAGTGACGCTTATCTCCCTGGCCTAGGCTGTCTATGGAACAGACTAGATAACTACCAGAGCATCTTAACATCCACAGCCATCCACGGAGAGGCGGGCATGGAACAGTTTTAACCTTCCTCATATTTATAAAGCTTAAAGTACGTGGTCTCTTTGTGGTAACTATATCATTTTGGAAAAGAAAAAAAAAAGTACAGGCTAATCCTTTGGGTATTTCCAGCATGAGGACTTCTACAAGCAACTGGAATAACGTATCTTCATAGGAATTACTTAGAAAGGCCTATTTTGCAGTTTTATAGCAAACATCCCATAAGAATGATTGTTTTGTGGTAACCTATAGATGGATTTCTAGGACTAGGAAAATAGAATCTTTAAACTGTTTTCTGCTACCTAGATCTAAGAGAAGTCTCAGTGAAAACCCTTTAAATCTTCCTCCTCCAGAAAA